CCCAATACGGCTTTGGATCAGATTTCGGGTCCCAAATTTCAATTAAATTAATTTCTATAATTTTTACATATCTAGGCTACTTCATGTTAAAATGGTGGGACAAAATGAGGAGAAAATGTTAGGATTTTAAAGAGGTCAAGTTTAGGCCTAAATGGAAATTTTGAGGAATTAGGTTTAAACCAAGTTTTAAACCTTAAATTTGATGATTCAGACTAAAAAAAAAAAAGTAAAAGGATGGTTTAGAATGAAAAGGGCTCATAAAAATTTAAAGAAAAATTGGGTTAGGAAAAATTGGGCCTTAGGCCCATTAAGGCCTAAACCAAAATTGAACCTCATAAATCAATGAAATAATACTTAGTTAGGTTGAAACATGAAATAATACTTAATTTGGTAAACACCTAACATGGAAAGATAATTAAGAACCTAAGGAAAAGAATTTAGGAAAGTAAAGTGAAAGGTAAGTTTAATGAACAAAGAAATGAAACAAAAATGTTCATCTTCCTTTATGTTATGGTCATGTTCTTTCAAATGCTCGCATGAATGCATTAGGTCATGAATAATGGTTATGCTTGAATGTGATTGATGATGAGAATTGGATTATGATGATTGATGTGCCAATGATGGTCGTGTTGGGTTATATTAGATTGATGTTATCTATGTTGTTATGCTTGTCTAATTTTATATCGATTCTCATGACTTGGTTACATAACCATTCTAAGCAAGCATTCATGAATTCATACAGACTTGCTGGTTCATTGTAAATTGCATACGCATGCTTAGCTCATGAATAATGTTTTAAGTCGTGAAAATATATTTTATATCATGGTTATCCGATAAGCAATTGGAATGATTTTAAAAGAAAAGATTTTCATGACTTTGAGGTTTTGAGGAAAGGATTTCATGGATTTTTCATACGGTGATGGTAATGGTTCGGGACTCGGACAAGTGCAAACGTACACTTTTAGAGGCTCGATAAGGTGCGTCCGTGGACGGTCTAGTTCGCCGGACATATGTGATGGAAACCCCGAAGTACCTAAATGGGACATGTCCAAAGATAGAAAACGGATTTTCGACTCGTTTATGAAATGTTTTATGACATAAGAAAAAATGATTCATTAAGCATATCGGTGTTTTATGCATACATATACATGTACGTACACTACATGCACATGTTAACTTACCGGGTTATAGCTCATACGGTTCCTTGTGGTGTAGATAAATAAGATACTACGGCTCACTTCTCTGCGAAGCCGACTACCGATGGAGGCATCAAACGCATGTAGCTTGGATAAGGGTTTGGCTTTCGGGTAGACCCATTGCACGGTGGTAGTTGACATAAAATCAGTCATGTATGTAAATAGTTAAGGTGTGTAATCGAATCGGTAATAATAAATAAAATATCGTAGTAATAGTATAATTACTTTAAATTATCCACTCGCATATTGACATGATTAAAAGTTTAGCAAACGTGTAAAATGAAATAAATTAAAATAAAATATCATGATAAATAAACGCGACATAAACGCAAAAAATTTATAGCGAAGTTGAAATAAGAAATAGGACATGAACGTCATTAAAAGATTTTTACCACGTAAATATCCTTACATACGTTACAATAAGATAATAGTGCCTTGTTAGCTTACATTCATTGCCACTTCGAATGTGGCTAACGGCGGTAATATTCTCAACTTATTAGGTCCTAGGTTGGGGATGTTACAATTCCATCACTAATTTTGAAAATAAATCCGTTGCTAATTTTGAAAATTAATCCATCACTAATTTTAAAAAACAAAATTGTCACGAACTCCGTCGCTATTCGAGTCACTAGTTTTGAAAACGATTTTTTCACAATTTCGTCACTTTTGTTGACATTTTTCGAAATTAAATTATTAATATGACATTTAATAATAAAAAATATAAATAATCATGTATATATGAAAAATAAAATAATATTAACAAAATCATTCTAGAATACGTTTCATAAAAAACAACGAAACAAACAAAGTGACTCGAATATTATATCACTCATCCTACTCGTCAATCCCATATCCTCATCCTCATACTATGTGGAGGGCTCGACTGGAAAGAACGATCAAATTATTATGCATATTATCTTATTTCAATTTTAATAATTAAACTAATAAAATTACTTATAAAATTTACATTCGAAATGACTAAATTATGTCAAAAATTATATAATTTCAACCAAATTTAACTAAACTACATAAAAAATTATATAATTTCAAAATTAAGTTTAAACAAAAAATTAACCAAATTAACCTCACACTAAAAACAAATAAATATATAATTAATTGCTTAATTAAAATAAAAATTTAAGATTAAATAATTAAATTTTAATCTAACAACTAAAAATTAACAAAATTTAAATTTTTAAGGTTTACGTTGACATACAAATTAACCTAACAATTAATATAACAACAAAATAAAACTTAACAAAATTAATCTAATAGTTATAAAAATAAAATAATAACTAAGAAATTAAACTACTACATACAACTTAACATAACAAAAAATTAACATAGCAAGATAATCAATAACATTCAAACAATTAATAAACTAACAAATAACAAAATTTAACTAAAAATTTATAACAATTATCTAATTAAAAAAAACATAAGAGTTAGAGAGAGAAATTTTTACCTAATAGATCAAGGATAGAGAACACAAATTTGATATGATTTTAAGGGAGAAAGATACCCTTCACTTTGTTGAACGGTTTTGAAAAAGATTTAGTGGCGTGGGGCGGCGTGGGTGGGCGTTTTTGTGGGCGGTGGCGGAAGAGGAGGTGTGGTGGAGGTGAGGGAAGCAAATGAAGAAAAACAAGAAGAGGGTATATATAAAGGTAAAATAGCGACATACCCGATTCGGTCGGTGAGGTAGCGACGGACTTGGTGTTCGTCGCTACTTGATTGGGATTTTGGGGGGAAATTTCCACCTAAAATCTCAATCCTTAGATACCGACTTCAAGTCCATCGTTAATTTTTAAACGGATTCCAAAATCCGTCGCTAATTTTAGGTCGTTTTGGGAGAATTTGCCCCCAAAAAGGGATAAATTAGTGAAATTAGCGACGGACTTAAAGTCCGTCACAAATTTTAGCGAAGGATTCCAAAATTTGTCGCTAACTTTGGGTCATTTTGGGGGAATTTCTCTCAAAAAGGCACAAATTAGTGATGGACTTAAAGTCCGTCACTAATTTTAGAGACGAATTCCAAAATTCATCACTAACTTTGGGTCATTTTAGGGGAATTTCCTCCCAAAAAGGCACAAATTAGCGACGGACTTGATGTCTATCGCTAATTAGCGATGAACTTGAAGTCCGTCACTAATTTTAGCAACTTTGGGCCATTTTGGGGGAATTTTCTCCCAAAAAAGGCATAAATTAGTAACGCATTCCAAAATCCGTCTCTAATTCATCAAATTTAGCGACGGATTTCAATATCCATCGTTAAGTTCACTAAATTTTAGAAATTTTAGCGATGACAAAAATTCGTCGCTAATTTTTTCATTTAGCAACTACAAAACCGTCGTTAATTTTGGTGTCGTTTTTCCCTACCTTATTTAGCGATGGATTTTTTTCCATCGCTAATTATCCCTCGCTAATCCATCGCAAAACATAACCTTTTATAGTCCGTCTTTAATCCGTCGCTAATTTATTGCTAAATAGCGATGGATTAAAATCCATTGCTAATTTTCTTCTCTAATTGATATTTTTCTCGGTAGTGTTGATTAACGACGGCAAAAAAAATTGATCGTTAAAAAAATAACGACTACCGTTTTAACGATGGATCACATGTTGTCTCTAATCTATCGCTATAGCTAATTGCATATATAGCAACGAAAAAATTCATTGTTAATTATTTAGCGAAATTGTTGTAGTGTGTGGTTAGCTAGGCTGATCCCATGCAAATATTCAACAAAAGCAGAGAGTTTGAACATCTTGGTTTTTCTTTTCTTTTTTGCCTTGTTTGGTAATGGCCTCAGTTTGGTTCGATATATATATATATATATAGCTTTAGACCCAGTCTTTGCTCCTCAATCCCATCAAACAAAACATGAAAGAGAAGAAAAGATAAAGGGCATAAAAAGCTCGAGTAGAGACCCACTTTTGATTTTCACTTTGAGGACAATGGAGACCATATGTTTTTGTTCCTTCTTTTACTTGTGTGCTCTTTTGTGTTTTGATTGCCACGAGACTAGAAGAATCTCATGCAGTTTAACAAGTTTGAATAGACCAAAGACCAAAACAGTACATCAACCCCGCCAAAAGAATCCATAGAAAAGTACTAACGCAAGATGCAAGAACAGTACCTTTCACTTTATTTATTTATTTTTTTCATGAACTGAATACCTTTAATTGGTGGATTCACTTTATTAGTTTTGGCAACTCATGCCGCCTTTGGTAAAAGAACTAAACAACATAATTAATGTACGAATATATACACAAATTAAAAAAAAAAAGTTAGACTGAATAAGAGCCCAAGATGAATATTTGATTGATTGATAGAGATTGATCCATGCTCTCTACATGCATGGCTTCTAGAACAGATCCGTTTGGTTTTGGAATTATGGCCCATGTTCCATATGCTTTCTTATCTGCTCTCCACCGTTAGCTAGAAAATCTGCTTGATTAATATATATCCATTCTCTCTCACACTTATAAAACGAAAAAAAAAAAAAAATTAACAAAAACATGTAAAATACTAAAGTATTGTTTTTGTAAAGGCTGCCTAATCTATCTTTCCCTGGATTCTTTCGAGCATAGTTTGTGCGACAAGCTTCTTTTGCTTAATATTTACCCCGAAACACCGCCCATAAACAATTTTGTGCAAGTAAAACAAAACTTGATGCTGGAATTCTCAAATAAATTCATCACGATCAGGAGCATTTTATAGTCTCATTTATAAAGAACACATACAAGACGCACGGCAGACATCTTGTCTCATCATTTTGCATGCAGAAGCTTCTCAAACTATTATACCTAGGCTCGTCCGGGTGGTCGTTTGGAGTTCCCAGCTCCCCTGAAAAAAATAGAACGAAAAAAAAAAGGAACAAAGGGAAAACTGAAGTTAATTACTAATAATGGTCATAATCACATGGCTAACTATTTTAAAAATGTCAATTTGTTATACGTATTGTATATATCTGGTTAACAAATGGTAGCACAAATTAGAATTAAAAAGCTTGCTTTTAGTGCCGAAACAATACAATATTGCTTACTTTGAAGACAGTAGAAGAATTTCCTTAATATAGTAAAATGTTACAAAATGATGCCTGGGTACGTAGTTTAGGTTTGGCTAACATTATTTGAACTACTTTTCATGCTGGTAACCATTAATTGTGTGTAATTAATTCTAAGCCTTTGATGCATGTTATTGGAGTACGTTGAATGAAAAAGGAAGCATAAAAAGAGTAAATTAAGAAAAAGATACCATGAAAAGGTTAATTTAAAGGCCAGCTCGTAAATGTGGAGAACAAAGTAAAATGTTAGTTAGCTTTAAATAAACAAGTTTCTGGGTGACGGATGGAATAAAGCGAAAAGACAAACTTTATTTGCCTTTAATTTGTAATTCCTACTTGTTTAATGTTTCTATAATCCTAGCTAGCTAATGACTGGAGATCAATGTAACAGTTTTTTTTTATAGTACTGGAAATATATATCTGTTTATATATGACATAAAATAACTTGTACTGATCTGATCCTGCTTCTTTCTCCTTCTTTCTCCATGCGGCTGGTACGTTTTTGCCTCTCTTTCAGGAGCATATAATATATATCTCATGGCTTAATTATCAATACTTATAATAACAATATATAAACTCACAAACCTAAAATAATTTCCTCCTATTTTTTTGAAATATAGTAGTACGTACGTATATGAATAATTAATTAAATAGGAAACCAAATTCCGATCCACTTATAATTAATACATATATTTAGTAGTACTAGCTAGATTTGAAAAGTAAATGAATAAACAGAGTACTGTTTAATGAGAAACAGAAATTAAGAGTATATATCCATGCATAAATATTAGGCTGTAAACAGGTTTCAGGAAAACAGTTGCTATTACACAAGCTGTACGTACGTAAGTACCTGTTATGAATGGGATCTGGTCCGTTGGGAACTTTTCTCTTGTTCATCATGTAGTTGAGATCCAACTCCGAATTGTAAACAAGCTGCTTCTCTCTTCCTATAACCTCCTCCTTATGATCACGTTTCAGATCATCTTGATCATTAGCCTGAACACTAGTTAGGTGTTTTGTCATTTCAGAAGTTGATCCACTTTCCAAGGCCCCAACCAACAAAAGCAAGACAAACACCACCGTTGCAACTGTCCCAAGCAACACCTTAAAAGACAGAGAGCAACTACCACCCATATGTATCTTCTCTTAATATATCCTTACGTCTATTTTGATTCTTCAAGCTGGTGCCTATATAGAAGCAGCTGGTACTTATTGGGGGTACAGAAGAAGAACCAATCAGACGAAGATTACTTTTGCATCATTGCTTCGATGCATATATGGGTATTAGCTAGCTAGAAGAGAAGAGAGCTGGGTGAGAAGCAAGAGAGTGGGCTAAGGCAAGAATTCTAATTTTTCTTTTCTTTTTTCTTTTCTGGGGTTTCTTACTTTGAGGATTAGGGTGGACTGGTGATCTTTATAGGTTGGAGCGATTCTGTTGCACTTTCTCGAACCTTGAGAGAGGGAGAGAGAGAGAGAGAGTGAGAGGAATGAATAGCTAGGTTGGTTTCGAACATTACAAGGAGGGAACATACGCTTCACTTTATAGTTTATACTGATGCTGATGATGATAAGGTCCCAATACTCTTTAATATCTTCCCTTTGCTTTGCTTTGCTTTGACATTGTGTATTTTCATGCAGCTGGCTAGATACCATACTATAATAGTAAAAATATTGCACAACTTAACACATATATAGCTGGCTAGCCCAACATTATCCCTTGCGTACAAAGGGATGTTAGAGATTAATATAAATTATATTTTAGGGCCTCATTTATCAGTTTAAGGCTTTTAGATGAGATGATTTTTTTAATATCGCTATTAGAAAAAAATGAATTAGTGACAAAATTTAGTGACGAAAACCAATCCGTCGCTAATTCGCGACGGATTAGGAAAAAATATTTTTTTATGACGGTTTTGTGACGAAACGTTAGCGATAGAAACAAATCCGTCACTAAAATAAACTCAACGACGGATTAGCGACGGATATTCGGTCGCTAAATATAAAATTAGCGACCGAATTAATTCCGTCGTTATATAGCGACGGAATATGTCCGTCGCTATCTATTGGGAGAGATTTTCTCCGAGAAATAGCGACGGACAGCTGTTTCGTCACTATTTAGCGACGAACAGGTTTGTCCGTCGCTATTTGGGAGGAAATCCCCCCCAAATAGTGATCGGACCGGCCGTCCGTCGCTAAAAGGTGGGGGAATCCCCCCCCAAAATTACGAAAAGGGGGAAAATTCCCTCCTTTTTAGAGACGGATTTGAGTCCGTCACTATTTTCCTTATATATACCCCCTCCTTTCCCTTCTTCATTTGTTTCTCTCACCTCCACTACACCTCCTTTTTCAGCGCCAACCAAAAAAATGGCCACTCGAGCCGGCTCACGCAAATAAATTTTTTTCACAGCATTTAACAAAGTAAGGGTTATCTTTCATCCTCAAAATCGGATCGTATCCGCGCTATATAAACTTCATTTGCCGGTAAAACTTTCTCTCTCAAATTTTTTTTTTTTTAAAGTTAGATGAATGTTATATATTTTAATTAAATTTTATTTTTTATTATTTTATTAATTATTTGAATATTGCTAATTATTTTGTTTTGTTAATTGGTATCGGATCCGTGCTATATAAACTTCATTTGCCGGGTAAAACTTTCTCTCTCAATTTTTTTTTAAAGTTAGATGAATGTTATATATTTTAATTAAATTTTTTTATTTATTAGTTTATTAATTATTTAAATGTTGCTAATTATCTTGTTTTGTTAATTGATATGTAGCAGTTTTAATTTGTTAGTTGTTATTTTATTTTGATAACTCGTTAGATTTATTTTGCTAAGTTTTAGTTTGTTGTTATTTTGATAATTAGTTGTTATTTTAGTTTATGTTGCTAAGTTTTATTTTGCTAATTATCTTATTTTGTTAATTTTTATGTTAACGTAAATCTTAAAAATATAAATTTTGTTAATTTTCTATTGTTAGATGAAAATTTAATTTTTTAACCTTAAATTATTAGTATGATTAATTGATTGATTTATTTATTTTTAATTATTATCATTTAATTTGATGACTTGTTTGTTTAGATATAATTTGGAAATTATAATACTTTTTAATGTAGTTTAAAAAATTCGAATATAACTTTTATAAGTAATTTTATTACTTTAATTAATAAAATTAAAATAATATCACATGTATAATGATTTGATTGTATCAAAAAATAATTAAAAAATTAAACTAAAGGTTAAAAATTTATAAATAATTTATTAATTAATAAAATTAAATAAATATTTTAGTTGAATATTTTTAAAAATTATGTAGGTGATAATGTAAATTAATGTTTTTTTACTTGTTAAAATCTAAAATTTTTTATATTTTAGGTGAAAATGATAATATAATTACTAAAATTACTTTAAAAATGTTAAAATTATATAAATATATAGATAATTAATAGAATTAAATAAATATTTTATTTGAATGTTTTCATAAATTATTTATTTCATTGGTAATTTAACATATTTTAACATAAAACAAGTATAAAATTTTATATATTTTTTTAAAAAATGATAATGTAATTCTCGTAAATTACCTATGGTAGTGTAAATTAGGTTATTTGTTTTGTTTAGTTTAAGTTAACGTTATAACATATAGCACTTAAGGTTGAAAATTTAAAAAAAAAAAAGAAACAAAAAATTATTGAATATTAAGAAATTAAGTAGTTATTTAAAAAATTTAAGCATTCCTTATATATTTATTTAAATAGGAAGTAAAATTCAAAAACAAAATTAATAACTAAATGAAGATAATTATATAACTAATATAATTGTTTAATATTTATTTAAAATAATTCGGAATGATGAGAAGTAATTGTTTACAATGATTATGTTATTTTTTGCAGTAATTTAAAAAATGAGACTCGATCGACAATTGATGAATTTTAGGTTAGTAAATGGATTGTTAAATGATGAATTTGTCAAAGGTGTAGAGTAATTTTTAGCTTTTGTCGTTGAGCATCCCGAATGTATGGACGGAAGCAAAATTTGGTATCCTTGTAATTTTAGTAAGTGTCGAAATCAAAATTATGAAGAGATTGAAACAATCAAATATCATTTGTGCCATAAAGGTTTTGTCTCGTGATATTATAATTGGGTACATCATTATGAATTTGAAGACTATATGACATCTAAAACTTCTAAGAGTCAGCATGTTTCGAGAAATTATTATATAGGCGAATGTAGTTCTAGTGAGCCCCAAAACCCGTATCAAAGTATGGTAATGGATGTAGCCGGTCTATATTTTGATCCGTCTAACACGGAGGAGATTCCTAATCCTAGTGCCCAACACTTTTATGATATGTTGAATGCATCACGTAAAGAGATTTAGCTCTGGTTGTGATAAGCATTCACAATTGTCGCTAGTTGCTCGAATGCTTAACCTAAAAGTCGGCTATCATTTTTTAAAAAGTATTTCAATCGGTTATGTGAGTCGATGAAGGAGTTGATGCCGGTTGATAACAAAGAAGCTCGGTGAAGGGGATGGGTTTACCAAGTGGAAAAAATTCATTGTTGTCATAATGGGTGCATGATTTATTGGAAGAAAGATAATGAATTAGATAAATGTAAATTTTGTCAACATCCTCGATATCGAAGTTCTCGTCGAGGATCGAAAGAGAAAAACTTGTTCCAAATAAGAAAATGTACTATTTTCCTCTAACTCCACGTCCGTAACGATTGTATGCATCAAGTGCAATAGCCGTGCACATGACGTGACATGTTGAACTTGGGGGAAATGATGTAGGAGTAATACGTCATCCTTCCGATTCAATTGCATGGGAGAGTTTCAATCAAATTCTTCTTTCTTTTGCAACTCGAAATAAGGAACGTACGCTTAGGAGTGTGCATTGATGGGTTTCAACCATTTAGTCAATCCGGTGCGCAATATTCCTCGTGGTCGATCATTGTGACTCCATACAATTTGCCACCATGGATGTGTATGAAAAAGGAATATATGTTCCTAATAGTGATTATTCTAGGTCCAATAAATCCAAAACATAAGTTGGACGTTTACTTGCAGCCTTTCATATCCGAACTTATCCATTTATGAGAGGTAGGTGTAGTGACCTACGATGTGTCCCGTAAGTAGAATTTCTTATCGAGAGCTATAGTTATGTGGACTATCGGTGACTTTCCCGCTTATTCAATGCTTTCTCGGGTGGAGTACTAGAGGAAAACAAGCTTGTCCTTACCGTATGAAAAATTCGGATGCTTTCTCCCTTCCAAATGGAAGGAAGACCTCCCGGTTTGATAACTATCGAAAGTTTCTTCATCATAATCATCCGTATAGAAGAAATAAGAAAGCATTCATCACCAACAAAGTTGTTAAATCTGGTCTTTCTCCAATTCGATCCGGAACGTAGTTGTTACATCTAATCGAGCAATGGGGGTTATTGAAGGTGACGGAAGATGGTATAGATGATCATAATAGTAGAATCTCTAAGATGTGTGGATGGAGAAAGTAGAGTATTTTTTAGGATTTGCCTTACTCGGAGTACAAATATCATCCGACATAATTTAGATGTCATGCATATTGAAAAAAATATTTTTGATAATGTTTTTAACACAATCATGAATGTGCCAAAAAAAACTAAAGATAATGCCAACTCCAGGAAAGATTTAAAACTCTTCCGTAAAAGGCCAGAATTAGCAAAGGATGATGCATCCGAAAAGTATCCTAAAGCTACATAGACTCTGTCAAAAAAAAAAATTGCTTGAATGGATAAAACAACTCAGATTCCCCGATGGATATGTGTCCAATCTAGCTAGATGTGTTAATATGCAGCATGACAAACTTTATGGGATGAAAAGTCATGACTATCGCGTTTTCATGCAGTGTTTACTTCCAATTGCATTTCGGGAGTTCTTAAAGAGAAAAGTTTGACAATCACTTACGAATTGAGTTTATTTTTCAAGCAATTGACTTCTTCGATCATAAAGCAAGAAGATATGTTGCGACTTAATGATGAGATACCCA